GACAGAGCTGGTGAAGCTTCCATGGCTACTGCTGAGAGAGAGAGAGAGAGAGAGAGAGAGAGAGAGAGAGAGAGAGGACTGGTGAAAATTAGGGAAAAATAATAATATTTTATGGATTGGGTGAGAAAAAAATATTAATATTTTATTACTAATTGTCAGGGGGAAAGGTTCCAAATGTGGAAATGCAAATGACAATTACTGTTTATTAAAAGCAGTTACTTTTCACTAGGTGAATTGAATAGTGGATTGCCAGGAGAGAGGACTCCAATGGTGGAGTTGCTCTTAGCTAAGTGAAATAATCTCTTGCCAACAAAAGCCATGTAAAATAATCAGGGCCGTCTTCGGAAATGGAGGGCCAAACACAATGAAAATTATTTTTTTTGAGACTCGACGCTTCAAACTTTCTATATTTAGGAGAAAAAAATAACGCCCATGAAGCATGCACATTAAAAATTTTAAGGTGCCAATAATAGCCCCCATTTTGTTTAAGGAATAGCGTCGGACGTAATTTTATAATTATGCAAGCAAAACTTCCAGTGAATCCAAATGATATACAAGTGTTAGGGTGAGGGAGGGTGAACGAAATTACAGTAAAAAAGTTTGATACACTAAAACAAGTTCCCTGAGCGAGCTAAATACAGGCAACATAAACGGCCATGGCTATGTTATTAATTCGTCTGTGAGCTGCCATTGGTATCATCTCTGCCACCGGAATTACCGTGAGTGTTTGCTGCGTCGGATGGAGGACCTAATCCTAGCAGCAAAGGAGGAGCTTCTTTCTTTTCAGTAGCAGGTTTTGTATCAGCAGGATTTGGAGAAAAAGCTCTAAGACGAGGCTCAAAAAGCTTGCTTGCCACATCAGGTGGCGGTGCATCTTCTCCAGGGAGAACAAGAAGCCCCTTCTCGCGAAGAGAAGATGGCTCGTTGTAGCAGGCATTCCACAGGGAGTCCACTAGCTGCCTCTCCTCTCTAGCTGCACCGAGATCCTCAGGAGACATTGAACTGATACTTTTAATTCGTCCTTGAAGAAGTTGCTTCAACTTCTCATCTTCATCAGCTAACCTACTATTGGCCCCATCAGTTTTGTCTTGGGCGAGCGCAAGAAGGCCCCGAAGTGCAGCTTCTCGTACTTCTAGATCTTCGCTAGAGGCAAGGTGCAACATTATGCGCGGAAATCCTAGCTCAGTTACTACGTTGCAATCAGAATTATTCTCGTGCAGTAGGAACTGAACCAAGTTCAGGGCTTTCCTGAAAAAAATTGTTGATTTTCAAGAAATTCAATATTGGAGGTACCAAAAGATGAATAAATGAAGTCATAAACAAGGGAAGATTTCCAAAATATACAAGTTAATACGGTTTCTCAACATGTTTTAATTCCTTCAAAAAATAAGTAAATAGCTCCAAGTGAAGATATAACGAAAATCCTTGTAACACACCATTACCTCTGGAATCTCACATTTTCAGAAGCCAAAGCATCTCTTAATGCTGCATATCCATTTGCCAGACGAAATGCAATGATACCGGGTTTGTTGTGTCGGATCAAAGCTGAAAAGTAATTATTTGCAAGCAAAACCTACATTAATATCCTTTCAGAAGAAAGCGCAAAACTTAAACAAAACAGTTTGCATGACTAAACAGCAAATACAATTCATCATTAACAACAGGATAAGCACATACAGGAAATTGCGCCGAGAGCTTTGGTTCGAACTGTGACATCGGGGTCAGATGCGAGATTAGTGAACAGATATTCCAAGCCATTCGCTTCCATAACCAGTTGCTGGCTCTTGGGGTTGTTCTGAACAATAGTTGTCACAACTTCTGCAGCCTTGGCGCGGATATTAGCATGGGGATTCTTTAGGTGACCAAGAAGCGGGACCAAACCCCCAATGGAATGAAGATCTAAAACACATACATCAACATCCAATGAGACACGCCAGATTACAAATTGCAATTACCATTATGCTAGTAAAGAACCCAAACATCAATACACAAAACTCCCCTCGCTGTAAATTAGACTAGATTAGAATATCGCTCGAATTATAACAAAACGATCAGGAAAAAGGCTAAGAAATGTTACCATTGGCCATATCGATGGACTCAACATGCTCCTGCAACTCATCCAACAAATCTGCCACAAGCCCCAAAAGAATTACCATAACAAAAAAGTTAACAGATTCGTCGAAAACTCCTCGGAAAACAAAGAAATACGAAAACTTTACTAATTAAATTGAAAAAAAAGGAAGGAAAAAACCTTCAATATCAGCAGGAGTAACTCCTTGAGCTTCCAAAACCTGCTCAGGAGTTTGCATTACAAGGGTTATCTCCTTCATCCGCTTCACAACGTCGATGGTCTGCGACTGCACCGCTTCCATAAACCACTTCCGATCCTCCTCGCTATTAAAACACAAACCAATCAATTTAATCTCAATTAACTTAACTTATTCGCGTCATTAGTATTATTTTGGGTGCGAGAGGGCTAATTACCTCAAATTGTGATTGGGGGGAGTGCCATCAGAGTGGGCAAGGCTCCATTTGAGCAGTCCTTCCCAGTTGGGTCCGCCGTCCGCCATTGTTGCTTCGTCTTGGAGGAACAAGAAATTATAAAGGAGAGAGATTAAAGCAGCAGCAGAGTTATATAGGAAGAATCAAGGACGTAGGGTACCGCTCGGACTCCTGACTTCAGAGGTTCCTGAAACGTCCGGTAGGTTCTGGATTGTTTGAGTGAAAAGAGGCCGGCTTGAGAGCTGCTAGTAAGATTTGGTGGGCTGGGATTTTGAGGCCCAATGAATTGGGAAGTAGGAGTTCGTCCTAGTTACGTCTAATCCTTTCGAAATGAAAAATCATTCTCCTGTGCCTTCAAGTATGTCTTGAATATTGAGTATTATCTAGTCTAATCAATCATCTATATCAAACAAACGAGACCAAATTACCTCATTAACAAATATATTGCAAACTAACAAAGAAGAGATAACTTGTTTTTTTAATTTCATGGTCACTTAACAAAAAAACTCTAATAATCAGACATGGAACCAATCACTAGACTGGTTGTGCCATAACTCGGCCAATTCCAAGTAGAAGCAAATTTATCAATGCTTGGTGGTTCAAGTGGTAAGGAGTTTGTTCCTATTAAACAAAGTCTCGAGTTCGAGCCTTGTGAATGGATAAGCCAGCATTGAAAGAGCTTGCCCCCCAAATGGGGTCCAACCCGGCTCATGGGATTAGTACTCGCCTACGTGTGGGGGATGCCTTGGATTCATCCAAAAATAGTAGAAGCAAATTTAAGGTATGTTGAAAGTAGATGCGCATAATTTTCCACATTGAGGGGATTAGAAGGAGATTAAACATGAATGAAACTTTATCCCTTACAATCCTATTGTTTTTATGAGGATTTGAACGAATAAATTTTCTTAATAGTAATGCATATTCTAAGTTGAACTCAATTTTTGTCATTTAATCCTTCACTATACTTTAAATATCGTGAGTTATTCATTACGATCTATTCCTATATGCCAAAAAAAAAGCTCTAAACTCAACATTTGAAGATTCAATTGGTTGAGATTTAGAAAATGAACTCGTGTATCCACTGCGCTCAACTGATCACATCATTGAAAGATCTTTTTGTCTAAGGGTTAATACCATATTAGATAACGATTAACTTGAAAAGTTTAAACTTTATAATAGTAAATCGTTAATGCATATCAGACTTACAATACATGCATTGTCTATCGTCTCATTACTTTAGAAATCATATGACGTTAAGAATATACATATAATCTCGTAAGATGGGATTTGAATTTGCCTCACACTTAGTAAATAATTATATATATATATTGGTGGAAACGTGGATTATTCTATCTCCCATGATAATATGTTCGTCTTTTGGTATGTGGTAGGAAAGCCACTACTGCTACTCATTCTCTTCGGTGAGCTGTAACCTGTTAAAAGAAATTCCACACGACATGTCGTCTTTGTGTGGCCCAATCCCCACGGCAGTGGACACACTCCATTGCGTATGCGGTTACGTATATTACTCTCACGTACCAATTATTTTCCCTAGCGAGCAATTTTCCGTTTTTAACACTTTGCCTCTAAAGTGTTTGGGGGTTTCACTTTTGTCCTTAACCATACTTTGGTCTCAAGTTGGTCCTTCAGTTTTTCGAGTGTTTGAGTAAAAGACATAAAGTGCAGACTCAAGTGTTTGGGGGCTTCACATTGGCTAGATCGTATGCACTTTTTTCATGAACTCAAGTTTGAATTCTTATTTTTGTATTGCATATTAATTGAAAGTAAAACATTGTATTCAAAAAAATTACATAAAGTGAGTTTGCACAAAAAATGACAGAATAACATGATTACTATCATAATGCCCTCCATTTATTAACGCGTGACTTTTTTTTCATTGGATAAGTATTTATGTTATAAATGAGCTAAATTGACCACAATCTAATCATTTGGTTGATTTGGAATTATTCGTTTGAACAGAACTGAAAAAATAATAGTTTTCACTTCAAAAAAAATTAGTAATAATCGAGTTAACCAAACAATTGGCAATAAGAGGTTGTTCAATGTTTCACTGATTCATAGAACACCTTATTAGATCTAGAATTCTAAGCCCCTCTTATTATATATCAATCTCACACATAACTAACAACTCTCTCTATACATCTTATCTCTCTCTCTCCAATTTCAAAATTAACTATCGTTTAGAGGTGGTCGAAAATAATTCTTTTTGAATAAAATTTTGTTAACGATTAATTGTGTCAATTTTTTTATACACAATGTTTAAAGTTTAAACACCAACTTGGAACCAAAAAAAAAAAGGTTGAGGACTAAAATAGAAAAGTACTTAAATTAGGGGTAAATTTCTAGTTAAATCTTTGTATCTGTCATATTTTAATTTTATTAAAATTAATTTTCGCTTTGGGCCAATGCCAGCGTGAATACCACGCTTTAACGAACAACGCGCTCCGCTACCCTTCACCCCCTTCGAAACCTTTGTTTTCTCATTTTTCACCCACTTCCCTCCCTCTCTCTCTCTCTCTCTCTCTCTCTCTCTCTCTCTCCTCTTTGCTCTTGCTTCACTGGGCCTCCAATCCCACTCGACGATCTGAACTCCCCAGATTTCAATAGCATTCATCTGGGTCGCCGAACTTCGATTCCAATCCAGCAAAGATTCAATCTTTTCCCAATTTCGAAAACGGGGGAGAGAAAGCATCTTTCCCTCTTTCTCTGCAATTTCTAGGTTTTCCGATACCTTCATATGGCTTCCATGGCAGCATCGTCCTACTGGTGCTACACGTGTAGCCGATCGATTCAAGTTCGGGTTCGGACCCAAGATTCGATCCTCTGCCCCGATTGCGGAGCTGGGTTTATTGAAGAGATCCCGACCCCTACCCGATCTTCTCCGCTACACCACCCATTTCCCACCGCCGCGATGTTCCTAGACAGCGCCCCGGTTTCTCAGAGTCCGAGCCCGCCTAGACTTCGCCGGAATCAGAGAAGCGGCCGCGACCGGTCCCCGTTTAACCCGGTCATCGTTCTCCGGGGCCCACCTGATACTGAATCTGACCCGGGAAGCTTCGAGCTGTTCTACGATGACGGAGCCGGGTTAGGCCTCCGCCCTCTTCCGTCGTCCATGTCGGATATCTTAATGGGGTCGGGTTTCGACCGGTTGCTCCACCAGTTGACCCAATTGGAAAATGGCGTCGCGCGGCTGGACCACCCTCCGGCATCCAAAGCCGCAATCGAGTCCATGCCCGTCATTAAAATCGCCGACAGCCACGTCGAGACGGAGTCGCACTGTGCCGTTTGCAAAGAGGCATTCGAGCTCGACTCGGAAGCTCGCGAGATGCCGTGTAAGCACATCTACCACTCAGATTGTATCTTCCCGTGGCTTTCAATCCGCAATTCGTGCCCGGTTTGCCGGCACCAGCTCCCGACTGATGTGAGAGGCCCGCGCGGCAGTGGCAGAGCATCGCCGGAGAACAATGGCGTGGTTGGAGAAGAAGAGCCAGTGGGGTTGACTATTTGGAGATTGCCCGGTGGTGGATTTGCCGTGGGGAGGTTCACTGGAGGCAGAAGAGCCGCAGAGCGTGAGCTCCCAGTTGTTTACACCGAGATGGATGGTGGGTTCAATACGGCGGGTGCTCCTAGGAGGATTTCATGGGCATCTAGAAGAAGGGCCAGAGAGAGTGGTGGATTTGCTCAGGCTTTTCGCAATTTCTTCTCTTTTTTCGGGAGGCTGAGAAGCTCGAGAAGTCGGTCTGGTAATGTGTTCAGTAGATCATCGCGGCGGAGGAGCCAGCGTTGGGCTTTGGAAGACAACTGATTGAGGTTTAGTGTTTTGTTTTTATTTTTCGGGTTCTTCTATATTAATGTCGGAAGGCAAAGTTTGTACATTTGTTGTTTGTTTGGTGTAAATAGCAATACATGACGGGGAATTGAAATCGAGACTCCGAAGAAGAGGTGGAATTTTTGAATTGGTAGAGACTAGGAATTAAGTTCCACCCATGTGGGAGGAGTGGGAGGAGGAGTGTGCGGTTGGCATGGAATTGGGAAGGTAGTTAACGGAGGTACCAGGCTTTGTGCTATTATTTGTATTACTGTTAGGATTTTCGGCCGTCGCTTGTTGCAGATTTGCAGTGAAGTGACTTAGAAGGTGATGGCTGTTTTTGGTCCGTTGTTGTACTTTCAGCATTGTTTTAGTCGAAAGTGGTTGCTGCTTCACTTGTTTGATGCCGTTGAGTTGCATTTTTATGTTAATTTCATTTGGTCCAAAATGATGCTCAGAAACCCGCAATTCATCTAAAGCAAACTCAGTTTCAATCCTTGCCTGTTGCCTGCATGATTAGAGCGTGAAGGAAACTATTTCCTCTAATCCTCTAATCCTATCATTCTGTGGGGATTGAACATAGCGGGTTATCCATTCCAGTCGAAATTCTGAACACCAACAAAGGTAGTATAAGCGACTCTCGATCAATGTTTCAATGAGCACTTCTTCTATCTGAGTAATGCCACTCAGGAATATCTTCCTGGCTAAACATCATTGATATTACCACAGATTTTATTCCCAACCTACAAACATGAATTGAATTACTGCCATAGGCTATAGCGACAAGACATTTATGTGGTCTATTCTGTTTGCTTGTAAAAGAAGTATTTCTCCATGGCCATTCCTTTTTGAGCAAGTTTCTTGTGTTGGATGGGGCTATTGACTTCTGTGTGAAAAGTAGACAAGTGGATGACTCTTGGTCTGCAATACCAAACCTTTATGTGTAATGGCCAAGTAGCTATCTCATGAGGTGGAGAAAATGTTCCGTATCAACGAGATAAACATATGATTGTATACAATAATACAATTGGTTACACTCGAGAGTCTGTTCTGCGTTTCCATGTAATGTTTAATTGACCATATGGACAGTAGATGCTGAGCCATCGCAATGCTAGTCTCGTCCCATCGCCCTCATTGCCACTTATCCTGCTCATCCACAGCAATGCACCCCCTGGATCTTAATGTGCCACTGCCCACAAGGTGCTGCCTCTCAGTCGCTGCCAGTGCCACAGCCTGCTGGCAAGCTTTTACTTTATTGCTTTCACAAGTCACACAACCGTTCGTTTACTTCCAACCATCAGTTAGTGACTAGGCATTTACAAGATTGAGGAAAAGGAGAGAAGCAAGCGGTGTTTGAAGTTGGGATTCGAACTCAGGATCTCCGATGCAGATAAATGCTCTAAACTTGTTATCTATTGAATCTGTGAAGTTGGCACCAATGACGTGGACCCAGCCTTATCTCAAAAACGACAGAAATCTTTGAGTTGTGCTGATGTGGCCCTATCCATTTAAAATTAAGCAATATCCATAGAGCGATAGACCCTGAACACAAACCATAACCTTTCCTCTTCCACCCTAAGAAACACAAATTACCAAATTATCTCCGATATGGGATCAATGTCTTCTCCTCTGACAATGATTTCTCCACAACCATTGAAACAGTCGGCAGTGGCGGTCGGCCGGAGCCCCTCCCTCTTCAGAATGCACTCTGAAAAGAAGAAACCGTCAACGGTGGTTGCTGCTATTGGAGATGTATCAGCCAATGGCACCCCTTACCTGATTGCTGGTGCTGCTGCTGTTGCTTTGCTTGGAACTGCGTTTCCAATCCTCTTCTCCCGGAAGGACCTGTAAATACTTATGACTACCCCCTCTTGCATGTGATTGGTTTCCTTGTTTGCTAAGCATGATTCCATTTAAATGGAAGCTTGAATTGTGCTTCTGTGTTGCTTCTTTAGGTGTCCAGAATGCGACGGAGCAGGTTTTGTTCGGAAGGGAGGGGCAACTTTGAGAGCAAATGCAGCGAGGAAGGACGAGGCTCAGATCGTCTGTGCTCGTTGCAATGGCCTTGGCAAGCTCAACCAAGTAGACAAAAGATAGAATACTCTATGCCTCTTCCTTCCCTTCACATCCTTCTCTGTTTTGTAACTTTAATCTCACCTGCTGTCAAAGCTTAAAAACAAGATTTCTCTTCAACACTCTCGCATAAAACTTTTGGTTAATCATCACCATGCCATATACGTTGGCTGTTACATATATAGTCCGTCTATAAAACGGATTGTTGATGTGTCATCGATATTCTATTGATATCATTGTAGCCAATGAAATGTATTGGCATGTTATCAATAATGTATTGATAATATTGAAGGTGTATCACTCACATACAAAGGGCATTGCATCCTTCACATTTTTATTAGATAACGAATTATTAATATATTCTTAATTTTGTGTTGATATCATTGTAACTAACAAAACGTACCAATGTGTTATCAATAATGTAATTTATAATATCGATATAATATCTCTAATGTATGTTATCATGCACAACAGCATAGATTACATCTTGCAAATAGCATTTCTAGGCTGCCTGAAATCCAATAAACAAGAAATGGTTGAAGCAACTACAAGAATAAGAAATGGTTCTAGGCTGCCTGAAATCCAAGAAACAAGTGAAGTATGTCATGGTTGCGCTATAGGCAAACATTACATAGACTCATTCCCCAAGAATCAAGCATTGAGAGCAAACGAACCACTTGAATTAGTACACTCAGATGTGCGTGGTCCTATGCAAATTCCAACAGTTAGTGGCAACGAATATTTCCTCACATTTATTGATGATTATTTAAGAATGTGCTAGATTTACTTATTGAGAAACAAGTCTGAAGTATTTCAAGTGTTCAAGAAGTACAAGGCAATGGTGGAACTTCAAAATGGTTTTAAATTGAAGAGGCCTCATAAGTGATAAAGGAGGTGAATCACATCAAATGAGTTCACTGATTTCTGTGAAAGTCTTGGCCTGGAAACACAATTAACTGTTGTCTATACTCTTTAACAAAATTGAGTGGCAAAAAGAAAGAATTGAACAGTTGTGAAAATGGCAAAGTGCATGCTACATGAGAAGGAACTTCCAATAACCTTTAGGGTGAAGCCGTTCACACTGTTATGTATCTCTTAAATAGGTGTCCTATAAAGGGATTATACAATTTGACACCTTTTGAGGTCTTCAGTGGGAGGAAATCAGGGATAAAACATCTCAAGGTATTTGGTTCAGTGTGCTACTCACTCATACCAAATAACTTGAGGCGCAAGCTTGAGGAGACTAGTGCCAGAGGCATTTTCATTGGTTATAGCACATGTGAGAAGGGCTACATAATCTTCAATCCTAAAACACTGAAGGTGACAATATCAAGAGATGTAATCTTTGATGAAAATGGCAAATGGGATTGGGAGAAGGGCAAGTTGGAAGAGGTGTGTGTTGTACTCATTTCAAATGAGATCATTAAAGAAGATGACTTAGGGGAGGAAATCTTTGCAAGTGAATTTCCTACACCTCAATCTGAGCATTGAGAAGCCCTAAGTTCTCGATAGTCAACATGTCACTACAACAAGTTCTCATTGTGTTCCAATTGATTCAGAGAACTTTGATTCAACACATTTGAGATGGAAAAACCTGAGTGAAGTATATGAAAAATGCCACATGTGCATTGTTGAGCCTGAGAACTTTGAGGATGCCTAAGTAGATTAGTCATGAGAAAAGCTATGAGTGAGGAGATTTCTAAGATAAACAAAAATAACACATGGGAATTGGTGTGATTGGTGTCAAATGGGTGTACAAAGCCAAGTTAAATCTAGATGGGTCGATCCAAAAGAACAAGGCTAGGCTATTGGCAAAGGGATATGCACAAAAGTTAGGAGTGGACTACAATGAGACCTTTGCTCCATTGGCTCTCATTGCACTAGCTGCAAAAGAAAGAGAGATTGTTTCAGCTAGATGTAAATTCTGCATGTCTAAATTGAGTATTGAAAGAAGAGGTATAAGAAGAGAAGGTATATACATTGCACAAGGCATTGTATGGGTTGAAACAAGCTTCAAGAGCATGGTATGAGGGGATTGATTCATATATTACTCACTATGGTTTTCAAAAGAGTATCAGTGAGACAACTCTTTATAGTAAAACCAAAGGTACTACAGGAATCATCATCGTAGCAATTTATGTGGATGATATTGTCTATACTAGAAGTGATCAAAGTTTGATGGAAGAATTCGTGGTTGATAAGATGAGCAAATATGAAATGACAGATTTGGGCCTTCTACACCATTTCCTTGGAATAGGGGGTTATGCATACTGAATCAAGTATCTTTATAAACTAGAAAAAATTGTTGAGAATGAGTCTCACATTGATGGGAGGACGAAACTTGCATTGGCTTATAAGAGGTTGGGCTACTCCCCATATTGCCATTTGGTTTTATGGTGGAACCTCAACTTTCTTCATGGTATCAGAGCAGGTTGTCCCACATGGGAAGCTAAATGGCCACACACACTCCACGTCACCCTGTTGTGTTGTCCACGTGTTAGGCTTGAAAATTCGCCACACATGAAGGGGCGTGTTGAGAATTAGTCCCACATTGATGGGAGGAGGGACATTGCATAGGCTTATAAGAGGTTGGGTTACTCTTTATATTGCCAGTTGGTTTTATGGTGGAACCCCAACTTTCTTAAAAAATGTGCTACTTCTTTGCTCAAGAAGTTTGGATTGCAAGATTGTAAATCAGTGTGTATTCCACTTGCTCCAAATGATAAATTAAGAAATGATGATGGGAGTGGTGTTGTTGATCAGCTCAGCATAGAAGGATTGTAGGGAGCTTGTTGTACCTCGTAACAACAAGGCCAAATATAATGTATGATACATGCTTGTTGGCAAGGTTTGTGCACTGACCAACTAATAACCATTTTAGAACTGCAAAAGAGTCTTGAGATATGTGCAAGGAAAACTAGATTATGGCCTGGAATATGAAGAAGGGAAAGGAAGTGTGTTGATTAGCTACTGTTGCAGTGATTCGAGTGGTTATGAGGATGACACGAGAAACACTTCTGGTTATGCATTCACATTTGGCAGTGGAGTGTTTGTAGGCTTTAGTTAAGCAACAATATATGGCTTTATCCATTGCTGAGGCTGAGTACATCAGTGCTTCAAAGGCTACTGCACAAGCAACATGGGTAAGGTTTGTATTTTTCGTGCATTTCAAATTGAAGCAACCCTTTTGAATTGTGATAGTACCTCTGCAATAGCCATTGTTGTATAAAAATGTCATGTGTCTTAAGCTCATAAGCTGATAAGATGAATGGCTAGGATTGGACGATGTAATGTTGGGACAATCCCCCTTTATGTAACCGTGGGAGAATTGAGCTTGTGATTGGTTCATTCTGTTAGTGTTTAAGTGTTTTAGTTGAAATAAATCAATCCATTTTACTTGTTTTAATTAGAGCCCTTGGATTACATTCCAAATGGATGCTCTAGATTTAAGTGAGAGTTAATGATATAGAGTGACAACTGTAGCTATCTCATAGGATAGATGAAATGAATGGTTATGATGTATTCTTTCTGTTATGAGAGAGAGTGTGTAATGATGCTTTGTACTAGTGAGTGCTATCGGTAACATTTCCGATTAGCAGAGAAGAAGAAATGGAAGTTGTTGTTCACTCATCTCTGTGAATACTCCCTGCAACCTTTCGTTTTCCTTTCCTCCATAAATCTCATAAAATCACATTGAATCACAACATAAAATACATAATCTAACATGGCCTCAGAGCTAGGTTGCATTATCTGCAACTGGGCATGAATCTGTGAAGCTTGCAGTGAAGGACTCGAACTGACCGTCGAGCTTCCTCACTGAAGAAAACTCGGAGAAGAAATCGTAGTGATTTTGAATCTAGTCTCATATGGATGGATCGAGTGGTGCCGATCTTCGTGCGCCGGTATTCAATGGTGACAATTTTGATTTTTGGGAGATTCGAATGAAAACAATATTTCGATCGCACGAGCTCTGGGATATTGTCGAAAAGGGTCTCGATAGTCCGACGAATGAGGGTGAAGAACTTACTGCAGCTGAGAGCAAACTATTGAAGGAGAATATAATCAGAGATGCAAAGGCACTTAGAATCATTCAAGGGGCCGTTTCGGATCAGATCTTTCCAAGAATCGCCATCCAAGAGACTGCAAATGCTGCTTGGAATGTGCTGAAGCAAGAATTTGTGGGAGATAAACAGGTACGGGCTGTGAAACTCCAAGGCTTATGCCGTGATTTTGAATATACTAGAATGGGTGAAAAGGAAGCATTCTTTGCATATCTAGTTAGATTATTTGATTTGATTAGTCAAATAAGAAACTATGGTGAGGATATAAGTAATCAGAGAATCATTCAAAAGTTGCTAATAAGTTTACCTAGGTCCTATGATAGTATTGCTTCTGTGATTGAAAATACTAAGGATCTAGATACTGTTGATGTTCAAGATGTGGTAGCTATTCTCTAGGGCTATGAGCAAAGAATTGACAGGCATGATGAATCTCACACTAAGAAAGCATTTGTTAGTCTCAGTATTGGTCCAAAGCAGAATAAGTACAATGGAAATCAAGGGTTCAAACCACAGAAAAGTTGGAAGTCCAAATGGTAGAAAGGAGATAATAGACCTGCAAATCAAACTGGAAAAGTTGCAGGTACTTCTGATGGAGCTAAGAATCCTTGTATACATTGTGATAAACTTGCATTTTGGTGAATGTTGGTTCAAAGATAAACCAAGGTGCCATAATTGTCATAAGTTGGGGCATATTGCAAGAGATTGCCGAGTCAAGAAGGAGAAGGCTAACCAGCATGTGAATTTTGTTAATCAAGTAAATGATATTCCTACCATGTTCTATGTCTGCAATAATGTCACTATGAAGAAAAGTGAAGATATATGGTATGTAGACAGTGGTTGCAGTAACCATATGACTGGAATGGAGGATCTGCTGATTGACATTGATAGAAATATAACTGCTAAAGTAGAAATGGGTACTGGATAGCTCATTGAAGTCACAGGGAAAGAAAGTTTAGGAGTTGATACCAAAATGGGACGGAGATATATCAAGGAAGTGATGTTAATTCCAGGTTTAAAAGAAAATTTGCTCATTGTAGGGCAAATGATGGAACACGGTTACTTTCTTGTGTTTGGAGGTACAACTGCAGAAATATATGATGATGGTGAAATGTCTAATCTGATAGCTAGAGTACCAATGAAGGGCAATAGAAGTTTTCCCTTGAAACTTAAACCTAAGATGCAGGTTGCTCTAAAGGCTAGTGTGTATCAGTCTTCTACAATCTGGCATAGGAGATTAGGACATTTGAATTTAGGCAGTTTAAAGCAACTCAAAGAACATGATATGGTATTGGGTTTACCTGATTTTGAAATGACAAA